TTGATAATAATCTGTTTCCTTATTCTGCTTTCCATCTTTTCCTAACATGTACAAGAAACAGTAATTGTACAGCTGCCGAGCAAGTAGAAAAGAGCAGGGTTTAGTCTAATCTTGAAGAAGTTCTTTGATTTATTTTAGGAACCATGTAGATAAATAGATATACCAGAAATTTCAGCAGAGGCTATTTTGGGAAATTTTGGGAAACACCAGAATTTAGTTTGGGTTCTGTTCTCCTGGACAACCAATTGGTAGAAGAATGTCATACGCAAGTGATGAGACTCAAACACCATGGAATCTCATTGAAGAGTTTACTCAAATGTCTTGAGTGGTGTGTGTGTGTTGGGAAAACTCACCTTTGGTGCTGGAAAATATGAAAGTTTGACAAGAAGGTTTCACAGATATGTATGCTTGGCAGAAAGCTCTCTGAATGTAGAACCTGAGAACAGAATAGAGATGGAAGCAAGTTTTGCTATAGAAGAACAATAGATGTCTAAACTGGAATTGCTGAGCCAGTTGACTGGACAACTAAGAAAGCTAAGGTTAAGTTGAGCTGGAAGGAGGTTTTATGACTAGAGCAAAGGATATATTGACCACAAACAAATAAGATGTTTTTACCAAGCAGGAATAGGTCTTAAGAAAACAGAAAGGTAACAGAGGCAAACATGCCTATGTGGCAAATAGAAAAAAGGTCTAAGAATTTTCCACTGAAAGAAAACAGAAAAACAACTTTAAGCTTAACTGTAACATGCTAACTCATGTGGTTGGATAGTAATGACCATAATATGGCAATGATAGTAGTTGTGATAGGCTATAGGCAATAGTAAAGGTATTGTGTATGATGCTGATTGGTTGTTGTGTATTAAGATGCTCAGCAAAGAAGAATATATAATGCGTTGTAACCAGAACTAAAATGGCTTCAGGCTTGCCTGTAAGCTGTAGCTGGCAGCCATAGGCATAGCTCTGTTACAATAATATCTTCTATACAATAAGCAGCATTTTGAAGAACTGCCTGGAGTCCCACATCTCTCGTCTCAGGCTCTTACACTTCATGTTTTTAATTTAGACTCTTTACAGAAAGGCTGTCTTATTTTTCCTTAGGGTATTTTCCTGTTCTGTACAGGACCACATATGAGGTCAATGCATAGATGTCATTATTCCTTCTGGCTGGGGATCTCTGAAATGGGCTGGGCAAAGGAAAGCTTTGCCTCTAAAACTCTGAGTGCTTTAATAGGCTGTTGTCATTCCTGTTTTCCTGACAGGAGATCCACATGGAGCGCTGTGTGAATCTGACGGACATCGCTGTGGAAGCTGTCCTTACTTGTTGTCCCAAGATACACATTTTTCTGTTCCATGGATGCCCACTGATAACAGGTAGATCTAATCACAAGGAGATAATTATTTGCTGATCATACCTTCTTGCTTTGTGAAAAGTACGCTGTACTCTATAAGTAATCCTAGACAAAATAACTTACTGGATAAAATAATCATCGTATACTGAGATTTTCAAAGCAAGGTGAGTTTTTGTTTTGAAATGTGGCAGCAGCCTTCAGAGAGGGAATTTTTTTGTTTGTTTGGAAATTGAATTTTTTTCCCCTTCAGCATGCTGATGAAGACCCAAATATTTCAGAAAAATATTAGCATCTTAAACCCCTACTCTCTTTGAAAAGTGTGGAACAGCATCCATTGAAGAAACAGTGGAATGGAGTAGGACAGCCTATGGGTGTTTTAACTTCTGTTGGTTGGTGATGCTTTACAGTTAGGTGATTGCAAAAAGAATCAAGAGTGTTTGGATTACTACAGATGTATCTGAAATGTGATATTGTGATAGCAAAAGAAGTATAAATGCAGATGTATCATTCCTTTACTGTGTTGTGTACCTGTTCCAAACACCACCTGTACATTCGGAATGAATAACAAGAAATTATTTTGTTCTTTTTCAGATCAGTCCCGAGATGCTTTGGAGCAACTCATCATATCAAACAAAATCAAGCAACTCACATGGACTGTTTACTGATTATTTGTCCTGTACATGTGAGTGTCAAATTTACAGGTGGGAGAACTCCTTCAGCAAACAAGCACCTTGGAAGAACTAGCTGGTGACTTTTGTTCTGCCAGGTTGCATCCCTCCTGCTTCCCACTGGAGGTCTCCGTTGCCATTCCAGTCCTTGCCTGTGAGCCTGGGCTTCCCTATTGTCTCTCCTTGGAGCCCTGTCTGTCTTTGCGTTGATCAAACTTCATTAAGAGGAAAGTTAAACTGTAATTAATACTACAGGGCCGTTGCTCAGGTTTCCCGCAGTGCTGGATTTGGCTGCTACTTAGTATCCTTTAGCAATTTAGCTACAAACCCAGTTTAGATGAGTCTGTGTTATGAGTTTGTATTTTGGGGTGATACTTGCAATTAGAAGTACCCAGCCCAAATGTAACATTGACACACAGCAGTGGCTGTGAAGTTGGGAGTTGAATCTAACTGAAATCAATAGCCAGAACTGGTGAATGGAGGTGCCATTAACAGTGATACAAATGTACTTTCAGTAGTAATAAAGAATCTCCTTTCACCATTTACTTTTGCTAGGTCTGGAATAAAAAACATAGGTACCTTTCTTCTGATGTTATTGATGCTGCAGGTTTCTGTTCTTACTTACCATCAAATACTTGCTGGATTTTTACACATCCAAAAGTACAGCCTGTGAATGTGTAAACATAAACTTGCTTTGGAATTGTTATGGTGACTTTACAAATTTCAGAGTAGTAGCTGTGCCCAAGAACAGGATTTTACATATGGGCAAATATTTAATTTGCCCTGGCTTTTGCCTGGGTTTCTACATGAAAATCCTTTTAGGGAACAAAACACTGGTAGTTATAAGCATACCTGTGAGTGAAATAGAACCAAATGTAGTGTCTGAGCATGGACGGTAGAATGTGTGTTCTGCTGTATGCAGTTCATTACATATCCAGTGGCCCCCACAAGCTGACAATATCAGTAATTTTATTGTTCAGTTATAGTAGTATTGGAAAATAATTTTTGAACTGTAGAGTGAGTTTATTACATGATGGAGCAGTGCTCTCATCACAATTATAAGTCTTTTTCCTTGGCTTTCTTGAACCATAACCTCCAGTCAGAATCCTATGATTTGTGCATGAAGCTCCTTAATGCCAGGCATTTTAGCTTTATAAGGGCATGAAGCACATGAGGTTCATCCTCTGGATCTGGAAGTAGAAGGGTTTGCTATGGTGGTCTAACATGGATTTGATGACATCTGGAAACCTAAAGAATTTAGGCAACCATAAGGAATATGTTTACTTTACCATTTAACTCATGTCATAGCCACACTTAAGAGTTGCAGAAATAAACTAGTCTTATATTAATCTCTTTAAAGTTCAGGTCTAATTGCATGGAAGGTATTTTTTGTTGCCGATATTAAAGGATATTATGATGTCTGACTATAATCTCTGTTCTTCTGTTGATTATATGGTTTTTGAAAGTGCAAGTCTATATAGAAAGTTGTTCAGGTGTCAGTAAAAGTGTATTTTTCCAAGACCAGCACCTAAATCCCTTACTCTTGTTGCATGGCTCAGTCCAGTGATGGGTGTGTTCCTATGATCTCTGTGGGTGTAATTGCACCATTACAAACCACTGGTTCAAGGATGAGTTGATTTTGCTACAGTAGCTACAGGCATCCGACAGTTGTCACTGCAGCAGATCTTTGCACCAGATAGAGGCCTAATAACCTAATCTACTAGGTTGTTTTGTTTTTTTTTTTCTTTTTGCTGAGGAGTAGTTTATTGTTATGCCCTGTGGAATCCCTGGGATCAATCAGGGCCCATCATTCCTTTGAACTCTTGGACAATAAATCTGTGTTGCACTATTTTTGATATTGAATCATATAGCTGTTTAGGCAACTTTGTGAAACAGTGCTACTGTTCATCTCAGTGGCAAAGATGCCTTTCTTCTCCTTGCTAATACAACCTTGGATTTGTCATGTTGAAGGCAAATGCAGCTTTTATGTGTCCTTAAGTGCGCCTGTAGATTTACCACCTTCCCCTACAGCCTCTTTTCAATGTGTGACTTAGTGGTACTTCCTCACCTGGTGCTTAAAAAGCTGTACAACACTGCAATGCGGTAACACTAATTTTAGGTTTAAACGTTTAATGTAAGTTACTTTAAATCCTTCACCATTAGAGCTTGAGTCTGCCCTTACTCAGACTTTGTGTTTTGTATTTGCATAATTCTACTGGACTGGTTTTTTTTGGTTCACAGTAATTTTCAACAAAAGTTTACAGGCACTGGGTGAAGTGGGAGAAGAACTTCATGGATGTGCTTACTACATCATATTCTTGATTGTTTGGACATTGTTACTGTTGTAAGCCTTGCAGAATATTCATATATTGTTATTAAGATTAAAGTTTAGAAGTTGGCTGTTTGGATATTTCTGAAAACTTGTTGGATTATAGAACCATGTACATCTGACTGTGCTCCTAAACCTCCTACTTCATGAATACCATGGTTTTCTGAGTGAGTACCACACACTTTTTCACATTTGTAAGCTTTCACCACAGCACCTGGCACCACTGCACGGTGGTCTATGGTGCAGTTATTAGTTCCCTAACACTGCTTGCTCTATAATGGACTGCTAAAGTTGATACTTCCTGTAAGACTGCTCTGAAAACATTGGTTTCTTCTTCAAATGGCTACAGTTACAGCATCTTACCTGAGGATCAGGTCTTTTTTTTACCAGGTTTGGCAGATGAAACTGGTTCTTAGTTGGCAGATAAAACTGACAATGATTCTGGAGTTTGTCCAGTATCTCCTCAGGAGACCAGCAAAATAATTTTATCAGACTTGTATTCCCTGTTTTTGTTTCGTTATTCTCTGTTTGTCACAGAAGTAAAGACTTCTTCATCTTCAGCAGCATCCCAAGGTGACAGATTGCAAAGGGTAATGTAGAGAATGTAGATCATTTGACCCTACTCTCAAGGGAATGAAGTTACCCTCTAGCTGGTACTATTTATTCACTTTCCATTTATTAAAGCTTTTACACTGGCTGGCAGTCAAGAAGCAGCATTTAGATTTGGGTGCAACTCCTACATAATCACTCTGTCAGTTTCAAGGAAGAGGAAATTTTTATTATAGAGGGAAAGGGGGAGATTCAAATTAGTTACTTTGACATTCAGAAGAGATACCCAGAAAAAGAGCAAGGCACTTCAAGTTGAGCATATTATGAGCTAATAATCTAGTGGAGAATTTTATGGAGGACAGCAATAATTTTCTATATTTAGAAATTTTCTATAAATAAGCTGCAAAAGCCTGTGGAAGCACTGCAGTAGTCCTTCAGTCACAGCCCTCTCCCCACAGCAGTATGCTGGACATCCAAAACATTTCACAGTAATGTCAGCAAGACACAAATACACATGGGAAACATCAAGCATGCAAACTTCTACATGTAAGTTGTCTGTAGATCTGCACTACAGTGCAGGCCCCTTTGCATGTAGCTTTTACATCAAATCGAGCAAAAGCCTCAGTGAGCATGATTTAAATCAGTCCAGTGAAGGTACAGTAAGCTGGTTTACTTTAACAGATAATGTTCCTTGTTTCGTTCCCATTTTCATGGTATATACCTGCAAAAAGCCAATCAAGTGAGACAAAATCTCATAGAAAGGCAGCTTCAAGAATCATCTAAGCTGTTTGAGGGCTGATAACTCCAGACAATACTTGATGTTAGCCCGTTGTTTTCTTGTCTCGTATACTCAGGCAGTGAATATTCTATAACTTTGTGCAGCTGACTGCGAATGCTGTGGCTTAAAAACTGATGCCTGCCAGGGTCACCAATCAGCACTTCAGTCTGGTGAATCCTGATGCACTTCTGCAGCCAGTGATGCAGACCATCAGCAAGCTGTTGATCATAAAACATATCTCCTAGAACTATGAGGTCCCAGTTGCCTGCCTCTGAATTAATGATGTTCTTAATGGTGATGGGGAAGGGATTCAGGTGGTTCAGTTCACAGTTCAAGATCATTGCCATTCCTGCAACTGAAGAAAAGTCAAAGGAAAATTGAAGTTACATTTTAGGATTCTGCCATTCAGCCCTTGTACATATTTCTGTGACACATCTTTCAGTTTCATCTGTTAAATGTTGTTCATCCTATCTAGGGGGCTTCCACAGTTTTTATTATGAGTCAAAATCTAGCATGAAGTGATGACATTTTATCCTTATTACACCATGACACAGAATGGAAGAATTTTTCCTAGAATGGATACAAGTGGAAACCAATAATAGAATTGAAATAGAATACAATAACTGCTTTAATCTATGGATATACTTCCTTCCTAACTAATGAATAATTAAATTATGAATAAACTGTATTCATAAATCAATTATGGAAAGACAAAGCCTAGAGGAAAAAGGCAAAATCTAGGCCCTGACATACATGAAAGTACAGGAAAATGCTGTGATCCTACAGAGAAGCCAACTTGCTGCTTGTGCTTGGAGTTCTCATCCAAACCAGATGGTGTATGGGCAACACTTGACAAAGTTTGCTGTTTGTTCTAGGGAGCTATAGAGATATACCTGGGCCAAGAGAGGCTGGTACAACCCAGCTTCCAGTACTGGCAAAACCCATTCCTCTTTTTAGCATTCTTAGGATTCTCTTTGGAACTTGAGTTTCTCCCAGATGGAGCAAAGAAAAGTCAGTGTTAAAGGTGCTTTAAAAATTAGTAAGTATCTTTACACAGAGATGAAAAAAAGCCTTACTAGGGTCAATGTCATTGGCAAGGACTTGGGATGCACCGCTCATCACAGCAGCTATTGCTGTTGCTCCACATCCACTTCCAAGATCCAGAACTGATCTCCCTTTAACCACATGTGGATTATCTAAAATATACCTGGAAAAAAAAAGCTGTTAAAGCAGTGAACAAGATCATGCAAATTTCTTAGGTTTACATTACACTGCATAAGACTTTTTTGCCAAACATGCAATGAAGTGTGGTACCTTAACACTATTCCACATGTGCAGCTGCCACAAAACTTCTTATTTGTCTCAGCTGATATAAAATCAAGAACCATAATTTTTCTCCCATAGTGTCCTCCCAACCCATAAACAAGAAATTCAGCCAAGTAAGCAACATTTTATGTCAATCAGCTCCTTCTCTGACAGGTGAGCTTTTCTGTTAAGTAGACACAAACTGGTAAGTAGACACTTCTAGATAACTAGAATTTGTCAGAATGCATGAGAAATACTGAAGCAAGTATTTGTAGAAATTTAAACCAATCTGACTGAACAAACATGATGTGTTCATAGTGAATATGGTGCCCACCTACCAATCTGAAACACTGCTTATGCAACTGCTTGGAAGAAGAGGAATTTCTCCTCTTTCTTTTCCTGAGCCATGCAGATAGAGATGCAAATACTTTTGAGACTGCTTAGTGTTGTTCCTGAGTAGTAACAAGAAAACGAATAGAGATGTGGTGAGCAGAAAGGGTATCTTCATCTAATTGCTGACACCTGCCAAGAGAAATCCTGAAAAACCTTTATGCTGGAAGTGGAGAACTGACAGAAGGCAAGTAGTAGTTATTGTTAAATACTATTAATCACATTATAACCATTGCAGAGGGTTCAAAACTTTAACAATTGCCTTGAAATTCAGTTTGCTGCAGAGAGGAAAGCCCCAGGTGTCAGGGAGAAGAGCCCTGGGTGAAATTAATTACTGCAAACTGCCATAATTTTACTACCAATTTCCATAACTTCTTGTGAAGTAGAAATAAGAAGGGATTCTACATTTGTCTTATCTTCTGACAGGGAGAGTGATGGCTGACTCTTCACAGAGGGCTAGAGGTAACCACAGCTTTTGCAGTGGGACTCCAGTGCAGATAATTGTAACAAAAATGTTAAGACTGGTGTATACTGAGAATGGCTGGATGGAAATGTCTGGGCCTGAAACACCAGCAGGAATGGCACCAGCGGGCCTAGTAAGATTGTCAAATGCAGAACAGATGTTTAACAGCATCCCCCTAAGGCCATCACTCCCCTAAGGACAGCCCCTAGTTTACCACCAGGACCAAGGATAGTGTGGGATCTCCACAGAAGTGCTGTGTTTCTCCTTTCCTGGGGCTCCGCTGGGATTTGGCGTGGCTTTCCATTAGTGATTTGTGTAGGGCACAATGTGGCCCTAATGCCCAAATGCCTTGTTTCCAGCTGAGTGGTTATTGAGTTGCTGCTGCTGATTGTGGTGACTCAGGACAGCTGGATGCTGCTGTATCCCCTGGCTCAGTGTACACAGTGTCTCTGCCCTCCTGGGTTAATGAGGAATCTTGGATTACACCAAGAATAGCTTGAAATAGGAGACTTCTGATGCTATGGAAACAGCTGTGATAGGAGGACAGTTATGGAGGCAACCACATGTTTTTGTGCTCCCTTTTAACTCTTCCATATTATGCAACTGATTTCTGACATTTCTTAATACATCAAACCAGTGCATAAACAGCAAGAAAAGTAATGAAATGCCAGATAATTATTATTGCTACCCAAATATCTGAGCATACAAATAATATGATAATAAAATTAATAGATTAACTAATCTATTTTATTTACCCCATGTTTAGGAGCACTTTAGTTCATCTACATGGCATAGTCAGCTCATAATTTAACAGTAAGACTCATCTTTTACCTGGTCAAAACTGCCTTCTTATTTATGCTTTCTTGCGGAAAAACAGTAACGCCCCAGTTCAGATTCTTCCCTTTCATCTATGTGGGACTCTCTGACAGCTTGTTCTCTGCTGTAAAAATTAAGATTTTTTTTTTTCTGCTGTTTAAGTGAGAGATTTGATTTCACAAAATAAAAGAACTCTAGTTCTTGGGAATCAGGAACATTAAAAACATTTTGACAGTCAGTGGCCAAAATCAAAATGTGGCTTCTGATGTGACGAAAATCCACAAAAAGTCACAATAATAAGGCTGCTGAATCCTAGATGAGGAGAGTTATTCAGGCTAACCAGCACTCCAAGTGCATCAGCATTAAACTGCTTTTCTCAACAGACCACAGGCACATCCACACTCCTGTCTGTCTCCAACAAAAAAACCCATACACATTATGACAAAATAGCAATCCTCTTTTTTGGAGTGATAGAATCAAACAGCTCGCTAGGTTTTGATAACAACTGCACAGTGCTTCTATGGAGCCAAATTTAGCCCCGTTGTCACACATGCATGGCCACTGATTGTAACAAATTTCTATTTAAAAGACACAAGTCATTTTACACAGCAGGTGCTGGAACTTGCTGCCAGCCAACAGAGATTGGGACACTCCAGTATAAGCAGAGGAGGATGGATAATGCACCCATAAGAGGCAAACACACATCATTAGGAACTGCTACAGAGCCACATCTGGCACACTGGACTTATCAGCTGTGGTGAATTTTGCTGCATACCTGGAGAGGGCTTGGCCTCCTGGCCAGTAAATTGCCCAGAAAGGGTCCCCATAAGGCCACAGGTCAGGTTTTTCTCTCCAGAACCTGCAGTGAGGGGTGAGGAGGCGCAGCCGGATCTCTGGTGTGAGATGCCCACTGTTGGTGACCTCGGTGTTCTCCTCCAAAAACGCTCTCACCTCAGGGTCCAGAGACTTGCCTGCGCTCCAGTGGCAGCAGCGCTTCCAGCACAGAGAGGGGCCTCCCCTCCTGCCTCTCCACACCTTGGCAAGGGTGTTCTGCCTGCCCAAGAGGAGGAGCCACTTCCAGCCATGGAAGGCCATGCTTCCCCAAGGACACCAGCCGTCCTCAGGAGAACTCAGAGCACAGCTTATCTGAAGCAAGTGATGAAGCTTGAAACGAACTCACAGGATGTAGTTTTTCATAGTGATGGGTGACAATTCCTGAAAGGAGAAAAGTGCTACGTAAGTGATGTTTGTTCAGTGACTTCAAGGCTTTGCACCACCAGGGACTTTAAGAAGAGGAGATCCCTGTGCTCTTGTGCCTTGCCCCTGTCCAGTTTTAAGTCTAAAAGAAGTGGTATTCAAGGAAGAAGCTATCAAGAGACCCATTCAGAAGAGTACTCTGAACTTATCCAGTGAGAAATGACCAGTTAGTGGAACAGCAATAGAGCAAAAAACTGAATGTGCAACCTTTTAACATCTCTCTCCCTCTGCCCTGAAGATATACACACAGCAATCTACTCCCATTTAGGGTTCTTCCACTGAATCCTCATATTTTGCAGGAAGACTCTGGCATTGCAGGGCCTGTGGACATAGCAGTGGTTATCAGTAGGTTGGTTGAAGAGACACGATTAATTATCTGTTTTATAATGGTGATGAATCTTTATACAAAAGCATTTTTATAAAGGCAAGCAATTAAATTATTCCCTCTCTCTCCCTGAGATTTATCAATCTGCCAGCTCCAAAATTGACAAAAATAGGAAAAACTCCAAAAGTGATCTTAACCAGAGTTAATTCATTGCATTTCAGACTGTATTTTAAAGGACTGGTTAGTCTTATGGCACAATAGTCTCATGTGGATGCTGTCAGTTGTAGAAGAAAGCAGACCTCCATCCCTGTAGCTCACTCTGAGACACTATATAAACATGCTCCAAGCCGTCTAAAGAGAGAAACTGAATCCAAGACATTTAAATTAAGTTTTTAAAAGGTGTTACATTCAGATTGGACAGCCTTGTCACACCACTCAAGGTGTGTAGTTCACTTCACACAGGCAGTGAAGGAGAAGGAAAGATTGGTATGTCATAGTTTAGATTCATTTAAGAATCAAGAGCATGGAGAGTGGAGAGCCACAGTACTGCATGGAGAGGCAAAGGGAGAGCCTCTCAGCACTTTATCACCAAACTTTCCTCACCTGCCTTCTCTTGCAGACCCTGGGCCTTTCCTATGCTGATCCTGCGAGTACACTCAGCAAGAAGTGGCCTGAAGGGAGAGCAGCTGTTTTCCAGCCTCCCTGCTTAGATCTCCTTCACCATCCATTAGTATTTCCATACATTTTATTCCTTCTTCACCTTGCTCTCTCATTTCTTTTCAATAACTCAGACTTCCTTGCTTCAGGGCAGAGCTTTTGAACCTCCCCTGAAACTGGCAACCAGAGAAGCATTTCAGGCCTGTGCTTCCACAATAGCAAGACTGCAAGTACAAACAAACAAGAAACAGAACTCTATTGCTTTCTCTCTTCTGCAGTGGTTTTCACAAACCAGCAGAATAATGTGTGAAGAAAAACAACTTTCATCCCAGCCCTAATGATTTTTCACAACAAAAGAATCATGGACAACTTCAAGCTGTGCAGGTTGTCCTTAAAATTAGACAAAGGGACAAGAAGAAGAATACGCCAGTGAAAAGAGTCTTAACACTTTGCATTTAATTAGAACAGTTTTTCTTTATTTGTCTATATCTTTAGAAAAAAAAGTCATACATGTTTAGTGGTATTTTTGTTGTGTGCTGGCCTCTGCTTTAAGTACTGGCTTTAGTTTCATCACTTACTAAAACGTTAAGCTGTGAACTTCACACTCTGCTATTTAGGCTGATAGTCCCACTAAATCTTTGTTTAAATCATTGGGTAAAGGCTTAATGTTTCTATTACAAATAAATACACACGATCAAACATTTTGCATTTTTCCACACTGGAGAATGCCATTCAGCAGAGTCCATGTAATTAATGAATGCAATTAGCAAATGCTTTCCTTCTTGAAGGCAGAGCTCTATAATCTTCATCTGCCTTAGGGAAGCATGATGGTAACTGCAATCAATTGAGAGATAAATCTTGTCAGCAAATGCTGTATGCTGGCTTTTCTCCACGAATTGCTGCAAATTAGCAGGGCTGAGATCCTGTCGCGTTTATTTTGCATAGCCTGTCATGATGGTTACTCTCCTGAAATTAATCGTCAGTACCTGCCAAGAGCTCAGTGCTTAAGATGCCAAACTGAGCTTAAATGCTTAGTGAGGGAAAGCATTGGGATGGACACTGTGTTTTACACTCCTGGCCCGTCCATCTTACAGGGAATAAAACCAGGATGGATAATAGGATGGATATCCTTGTGTTTGACACTCCTGGCCTATCCATCTTACAGGGAATAAAACCAGGATGGGTAATAGGATGGATATCCTTGAGTTTGACACTCCTGGCCTGTCCATCTTACAGGGAATAAAATGAGAATGGATAATAGGATGGATATCCCTGTGTTTGACACTCCTGGCCCATCCATCTTACACGGAATAAAATCAGGGTGGATATCCTTGCATTTGACACTACCAGCCTGCCCGTCTTACTATAAATCAGTGGACGAGTAGAACTTGGACCAGAAGACAAAACGTAGCAAAACACGTAAGAAAAACCTCACCTCCCCCACGCCAAAAAAAAAAAACAAAACCCGAAACCCTAAACAAAACCGCCATTTCTATGAAATTTAAGCTCTGGGGGGTTTGTTTTGCTTTTTTTTAGGCAGCAAGAGCCGTCGAAAGCCCAGCCACCCCGCCCCACCTTGCCCTCGGGGGATGCCAGCCCTCCCCACTCGCGCCCGGCGAGGGAGGCAAACCGGGGCCGCCCCGCCGCCATCGCCGCCCGGCCCGCCCGGCAAAGCGGCCGCAGGGCTCGGCAGCACGGGCAGCTCCCGGCCGGGGAAGGGGCAGCCGGGCCCGCTGCCCGGCCCGGCCCGGCCCCACGTACCTGCTGCTGGCGCCGCCGCCGCGCCGGGGCCGGGCCGCGCTCCCGCCCGCCCGCCCGCCCGCCCGCCCTTAAAGCGGCCGCGCCTCCGCTGCAGCTCGGGCCGCTTCTCCTTCCCGTCCTGCGGCGCCTGCCCCGCTCCGAGTCCGCACCCTGCTCGGGGCCTGCGCTTGCTCCGCTCCCAGTGCCTTTGAGAGGCTTTTCTGAGAGGCGTGCGCCAGTGCGAGCTAGCCCTGCGTTTGAAAACGTTGATAAAAATGCACGCGGGGAAAGCAGCGATAACGCACGTCCCAGCTGAACGGCGGGGGGAAGGAGGGGGTTTTTCCCCTTCGCACATCAGATCAGGGGCGCTGTTAATCCGGTGTGGCCCAGGGGAAGCTCTCCAGCCTCTCGGAGACAGCAGCAGCTACCGCAGCGCCCGGTGCCGGCTCTGCCCCTCGGGCAAGCGGGACCTCTGTCCGCTCCTCTGCCGCTCCCGTCCCGCCTGCTCCATCCTCAAAGATCCCTTCGCTTCTTTCCCCAGACCCTCTCCGGCGTGGACAGGAGAGAGGGGGCTTCCCGTGTCCTTGCTGTTCCTCAGGAGGGCACAGCTCAGTGGCAGGAAAGACACACCTACACCTACAAACGCTGGTGTTCCCTCCGAAACCTCGAAGTGGCCGCATTTTCACGTGGCAGTGACTGGGACACACTGGCGTGGGACAAGGAACCAAACCCCCCTGTATCCCCTCCAATTCCCCAGTTTCTGAGGTTTACAGAGATCTTCCCTAACGGGCTCACTTCCCTTTGAGACCCCGGAGATTCCCCAACAGCTCCCACCTAGTCGCTTCTCATCTCCAGTCCCATCTGCTGGGATTTAGGGAATACGAGCAGCTTCTAAAGGTTCTCTACCTTCTCGGTGGGACAAAGCACACCAAATTTCTCGCGCTGCGTTTTATGAAGGACTTCTGTGCATTGCCTGAGGTGATGATTCTGCAGCCCTTGGGGTACCAGGGGTTTAAACCGGGCGATCCCTGAGCCCAAGCCTGGGTCTGCCCAAATCGCTGAGGTTACGAGGCCATCTAGTGATCTGCGAGCTTGTTACAATTAAAATGTACTCTCCAGGGTCGGAAAGCTGCTTGTAAACCAGGATCTCTTCTTTAAATGCGGGTGATCCGCAGCCTCCCGAGAGAAGTTGACCCCTGCGTGTTGGGCTGTAGAGTGACCAGACAGAAGCTGATGTCCTCCTGCCACACGAAGGAGCCTGGAATCCACAGACATGTTAAACTACAGGGATACTTGCATGCCTTTTACTCTTCTGAAGCAGGACCCACACTCAGTCTTTTTAGAAATGACTCCTTGAATGGTATAAACGTGGACCTCCGTGTCTTATTTGGTGTGGATCAAAGAAATTATTTATTTAATGTGGCCATTATTTCTTGGAGCCCGTAGGGGAACTGTGAATTTCCAAAGGTCTTTCAGCAGCTCTTGCTGGTACGTCTCCAAGAAGGGAGGTATTGAAAACACTCACAGCACCCAAAATTGTGAATAAAGCATATATTTTGAAATAAAAATTGTGAATAAAACATGGGGGTTTGTGCCCTCTAGATACTCACCACCATGCTAGGAATAAAGAACTTGGTAATGCTATCAACATCAGCTCAGGATGTCATGTAAGATATAGTGCCAGGATACTGACAGGTGATAATACAGCTCTTCCTTGCACATTTTATTTTATGCCTTACATGGTTCTCATGGAAGCTTTTACACATAGATCACCAGCCTCTTTGATTGATGTTTTAACAAGTATCTTCTCAGATCTAGTTTTTCTGAACTCCTGATACATGACTTTACTTAGTAGCTATATGAACCTCAGTCAAGTCACTGCTGTCTAATACAGACCAACATCACACTTGAAACGGCAGTTCAAAAGGATAGAATCATAAAACCACAGAGTGGCTTGTGTTGGAAGGGACCTTAAAGATCATCTAGTTCCAGCCTCTCAAAGAAGTCTGGCTGCTCCCAGCTGAGAGATTTCTTTGGTGAAAAAGAAGGGTTAAAGTCTTTGCTTCCCAGGGACACTGGCAGGGATGTTAGAACCAAATTTTTTTCTCATTTAACTACAAGGAATTAGTTGTGATTGTACAGATTCCTAGCGTGACATAAGAAAGCTCCAATACCAGTGATAGCTGCTATGCCTCTTGTGAGAGTCTAGGTGAACCTCTTAACCTTTCAGGACAAGGTTTGTGCTGATTATTTCAACACAGTATCAAAGCCTGTCATCCATGAGAAAAAGAGTTTAATTTCCAAAGGCTTTTTGCTTTAGATGGTGACATCTTAAGAATTTCAGCTACAGTTTCTGGTATTCTGTGCAAACTACCAGAAGTGTGCTGGAATTTGCTCTGAGGACAAGGACGTCTTTGATCACCACATAACATTGATTTGGTGTATCATGGAGGAGTGCAACACTTGCAAAATGCAGTTGCAGAGTAGCACACAAGGGACTCCTGGGTGTCCAAGGGAATTAGGGGATTACTGGCTGATGCTACAACTGCCCAAGTGTCTGGGGAAATCTTGTTCAAGCCAATTAATAACAAAGAAATGGAGCTGCCCAAGGACAGAGAGGAGGGCAGGGCAGAGAGGAGCTACCCTCACATTAGCAAGCCCACAATTCATGAATCTTCACAGATACAAAGGTTAAACTCAAAGGAAGGCAGGCCAGTGGTTCAGCAGCCAAGTGCCCTCCCCTCCAGGTCACTCTTCCAGCTGGTGCAGGTGACAAGGCCAGCTGCTCCACTTTGCTGTGGTGAAAAGACCTCAGTGGAAATTCACCAGGGGGAAAAGGGATGGATTCAGGATGCTGTTGATTTGTAAAAAGCATTCCAACAACTCAGTATGAACAGTCAGGATGTACACATCAGGCTCAATTTGTGGTTGCCCAGAGGCTGTGGAAGCAAGTCATTATCAGAATGTAGCTGGTGCAAGTCACTAAGGTAAAATTGAAGCTGAGAGCTCTAGCTAGGTGAGGGAGAGGCAATTCAGTTATTCTGTCATGCCTTCAGCTACAATCCAATTTTAGAATAACAGTACGTCTTTTGCAGTTGAAGAATAGGCATCTTAACATAACAACAATCACATATTACCTGTGATGTGTCTTGAAAGCACCAAATGTGCTTTTCATAGGATTACCCTTCCCCACTGCCTTGCCAACTGCATTAGGTTAGGAGCAGGAAGGAGCAGCAGCTAGCAGAGATTAAGGCATCAAGTGCATTCTGGTAGTGGTGGCAAGAAGGGGAATCTGTAAGGTGCAGCTATTTTTCAGAGTGGAGGTGGGATGAAGTGAGGACAAACTGTAATAATCTGACCTTTGTGCTGCTGTAGATTCAGGGTTTCTGGCACGGAAGATCTCTGTGAGAGCCTTGTTGCTAAGAGTGAGAAGTTGAAAACTATTATCTCTGAGCTCATTCTTGATTTTGTCTTTTGTTCATGTCTGTGGTTGAAGTATTCTTGGCCTTAGCTGGCTGGATTTATCCATGTGCAGTCAGACACAAGAGTACATTTTTAGCATGAATGAAGATTGGAGAGATGCACAGAGTCAGGCGGCTTTTGCTTCTCTTTAGTCTATTTTTGGATACTTGTTTTTCTCTTAAAACTAGAGGGTTCATATTTTCAAGTGCTGTTTTTGAGCAGTTAAAGTCTCCTTGAGCTAGTGGGACTGTCATTCTCATATATCTCATGCAGCAACAACCTTTGGGCTCCTGAGTTTCTGGTCACAGCAATATTTTGTGATAATCAGCTGAGTAGTGGTTGTGCCTGGCATCAGAGCCTTTGTTTGGGAGTTTTGTAATTGTTTTAGGCATTTTTTGTGTGTGTGTTCTGGCAAAGCCCTGAAAGATGGTGGAAGCTGAGTGAATTTGGGCAGCTAGGGAAGAAGGCTGCTTAGGCACCATGGGGTCTCTGTTCTGGTCTCCAGACAACAAACAGCTAAGTTTTCCTGAATGATACAAAATCATTCTTCATTACCTCATCCCTCCTGACTTCCTGGGACAGTAAAACCAATCCCATCTGTCTTCCCTGTGGCTTTGTCCCACATTCTCCCCATGTGTGATATATCAAGGGTGATATGCAAATCTCATTATTTCAGTGTATATATTAGTCCTTTGCTTTTCCCAGACAGGCAAAAAAAGTGTCAAAGACCAGAGCTGAGCCAACACTTAGTCTGGAGCATGAGATCATGACCACCAGCTGGGGCCCAAATGCAAGTGATGCTTCCCAGTCTTGGCTCTCTGTGTTGCCAGGCAGGCTGGGTTCACTACTGTGTTTAAACCTCTTATTTGTCTTTGACAAATTCTTCTTCTGACTAATTTAATCTCTTTTCTCCAGATAGAGTAATTGCTCCATCTTGCTCCAGAAACAAATCTTGAAACCATAGTAGCTTTGGTCATCTATTTTAAGGATCATGCTAACAGCAGTTGGTGCCAAGAGGCAAGGTAATCAAATCAAATTTTCAAGGAGCTGCATCAGTTCAGAGCAGCAGGTTTGCTTTTACAATTCAACTTTTCCAGTTTTCCACTGGTGATCAGATCCTGGCACCAGCAGAAATTTTCATTTCGTCTTCGACATGTTAGTCTGCCAGAAATTTGGACCTGGGGACAGAGAAGACAGTGGAGATCTGAGACAGACAAGACAAACAGGTGGTGCTTATTCTCTAGAGCATCTAGAGGAAGCTCTCTGCCAAGGACCTGACACAATATACTTCCTCTTTTGGCTGATGCTTGCTATTGTGTCTTGGGAGGGTGTCAGGGTCCTCAGGCAACTTAGCTGTCAGTCATGGTCACAGGACCTGTCAGGTCACAGGACCTGTGCTATTCATTCTTTTGCATTAATATCCAGAGGACATAGAAATCAAGTGATACCCCTGCAAGGAAAGGAAGGGACACAACACTCCTCTGCAGCACTGGCCAGCTCCCTCACATGATGAACAGGGTGAAAGTGAAGTTGGATGTGACCAAGGACACAAATAACTGCTGTTTATGCACATGGAGGCATGGAAAAGTCATAAGG